CTCGACGAGCAAATCAAGTCGTTCAACGTGGGCGCCAACCCTTACACCTGGTTCACCATGGAGGCGCTCGAGGAGACGTGGCGCAATCTACGCAAAATTATTGGTACGTACTACTTCATTTTTAAATTAAATTGAAATTATATTGTTTACATAATTACTATACTACTATGAAACAAACCGCAAGAAGCTAAGGTTATGTTGTATAATACAAATTTACAATAAATGTTCGATGTTTAGCGGAGCGCGATGTGGAACTAAGCAAGGAGGCGCAGCGGCAGGAGGAGAACGACAAACTGCGCAAGGAGTTCGCCAAACACGCGAACGCATTCCACCAGTGGCTCACTGAGACACGGTCAGTATACAGTATGGATTGTATAAAGTCACATCCCAGTTCGATCTCATACCGCTTTTCAAACAATACAAGAAACAAACAAAATAATATACAGGTTCATTACCGAAAGATCGTTAGTGATCTCGTATATCGTATGCTTAGACGCATTTCCATTCTCTTCACCAGCAGAATAAGTATTATCAAAAGATAAGATGTAGGTGGAGTTGTAAACACAATAATTCTGTGTCTGCGGGTTATGTATCCATATATGTTTGTCACTGACGGTAACACTTGGTGTGCAGGTACCGGCTGCTAGGCTGGGACGGGTAAAGTACCAATAACGCGTGCATTTGCACTAAATATGACAGACTCGCTTCGCAAACATCGGCACGATATAGTTTACATAAATGTATTGAACTATTCTGCCATGTTATTTGTGAGCATCTCGTTCGTTGTCGATGTTTTCTTAATTGATGTTGTTACCAAATACTGTCTGGACACAGACATTTGTGTAAATATTAAACATTTATCTAACTTTAAATGTTTTTTAGTGTTTTCAATTTAATTTTACTAATTTCAGTCCTCATTTTTAAAGTGTCATAACTCATTCCATTATTCATCAGGAAATGTTTATACATTTACGAGTTTTTTTTATGTTTATATGTTGTAATAAAAAAAAATCGATATTTTTGTTGCTTTTGTCAATATAAATAAGTGGACATATAAATGTAGCATGTTTCAGCAGTATTGTATGTTGTATTATAATATTATTGTAACACATGTTGTGTTGTGCAGCACGTCTATGATGGAGGGCACTGGCTCGCTGGAGCAGCAGTTGGCGACGCTGCGCCAGCGTGCTGGCGAGGTGCGCGCGCGCCGCGCTGACCTGCGCCGACTGGAGGAACTTGGTATGCCACACATATACATATTACACTTACTTGCAACATAGATACTCATAACAATAACGGCAAGAAGAATTATATCAAAGAAAACTCGAAAATTATTACTTTAAATGTAATGTGACAAGAATTTATTTGTTGAGATACATGAAGGAAGATACATTACATTGAGTATTGTAACACTACACCAATAAATGTTTCCAAAACATTTGCGTAATAAATTTGTAATGTATAGGCGCCGCTCTGGAGGAACACCTGATCCTGGACAACCGCT